ATTTATTTCGCATTATGTATTATAATTGGGCTGTGGAAGCATTTTTCTAACACTTCCTCCTCATCTTCATATATTTTTTTCCTTATTTTTTTTGTTTTATAAAGTAATCTACGACATTTTCTGTTATTTTTTCTCTTAAGGAACTTTGTAACTATATTGGAGTTGATTCAAATTTAATAAATTTGATTTATGTTTTATATAAAAAATCGTATATTTTTTTAAGATAATACGTAATAAATTTTATTCTCGACTTGATTAAACTTTAAACTTTTNAAAAAATCTATTAAACATTTTATTAATTACAAATCCTCTAAATATTTTTAAAAATTTATTAAAACAACTCAAAACTTTAATATAAAATTCATTTATCATTTTAGCTTCCATTAAAGTTTAAAAAAAGTTTAACTGGTTCTTCAGTAGTGAAAGAACTTTATAGTATATCAGTAAAAGTGACCTTCATTATTATCTTAAACTATCATTTTACATAGAGTAAAATGTACCATGTACTGGCTACAAGGGTCAAACTTCTATCAATAAAATCATATTTGTGGTTGATATTTATGATAATAAAAAAAATTTGGCAAATTGTAATAACATTAATTATTCTAATAACAAAAAACTCCTTATTGTATTTTATGAAACAAAGATTATAACATCTTTTTATATGAAAATAATTATACAGTTAATAAAGAAATATTTTCAAATTTGTATTTTGTAATATGATATACTTCAATATTACTAGGATAACAAAGATCAGATACTGCAAGTGGTAATTGGATGAATATGTTTAATACAATACACAAAAATAAATTTTCTGCCTAGTTTGTAAAAATAAATTAATCTTAATACAGTTTAAAATTCTTTAAAAAAAGCTTTGAAATTCTTACCATATTCAACATTATTGAAATGACCGGCTACAACTCTACAAGTAGAATTATCACCTCCACATATTCCACACATGTCAAATTTTTTATTGGAATCAAGTCTATGATCACAACCAGCTGGCTGTTAAAAAATAAATTAATTAAAATAATGAAGTTTAAAATTTATTATTTCGTTAATAATTTATAAATATATAAGTAATGCCAACTCAAGTTTTAAGTTATAATGATAGAATTTATCTATTATTATAATTTTGTTATTAAAATGTTCATTTATTCAGTCTGTTACACTGTTCATTATGTATCACTTTTTAATGTTAATATCATATAATTTGTAGATTAAATATATTTTTTATTTTAACAGATGAAACTTTGATTTTAACACTTAAAAGATAAGGAAATTAAATTATCATCACTGTCTAATCAATTATTTTTTTCTAATACTTACTAAACATTTACCGTTGACACACACATCTGATGTATCTGGACTGCATGGTGTACCATCTATCACTTTGTCTTTCAAGACAAAGTAAGCAGATGTACCAACAGCTCTACAGTATAACTTACACGATTCTTGAGGATCAACTAAAAGTAAAATCAAAAGTTATTTTTGAATTGTTTTTGTTAAAGACTTTTTAATCAATATTCATCAATTTAAAATAATAATAACTTTAATCCACTTTAAAATGGTTTAATTACTATTCTGAAGTACCATCCCTTTGCATGTTTAAGTGCATTGAGAAGTTAATCAACAAGCATGCTAATGATCCTGATGATGAGTAATTTAAAAGTTGAAACAAAGAAACAGCAGATACAGTTTCATTTGGATTACTACTACTACTTTTTTTGCTTTTTTTTAATCTAAAAAATTCCTAGATAATGTGGATCTTGTTAAAAGCAAGCGTGGTTAGTTTAGGTGTCTGTTAGATAAAATTACTGCTTCTCAGGCACAATTTCTTTACTTTTATACCCTAATATAATTTATATACGTTTCTATCCACATTTTTAAGTTAAAAACCTTAAATTTTTAGAGAATTTATACTAAATTTTAACTTTAACTGTATGTAATCGCCTGTTATATAAGCCTATAACTTATTGAATATAAAACTAACTTTTATACACAAAAAACTTAAAATTTAATGTAATTATAAAGTAAAAATTAACGTATTTAATGCTTTAAAATGTATATAATTTACATAATTTAGGTGTCAAGTGCACTAACTTTAGTGAATTAGTTTACAAGAGTATAAGGTTCAAGCATCAAATTTACTACTTTTTGTTACTGAATTACGAAAATTTAATAAATTTTTAAGCTATTAAATATAAGAAACTTGTAGTTATATAATGGAAAGATTTTTTTAATTTTATATTTGAAAAAAATTAAATGAACAGGAAGAATTTTATGGAGTTTTTACTCATCGAGCGCACTGAACTAGTGGAGAGTTGTATGCAAGTTTTTTTTTTATACATTTTATAAGCCTCATAAAGCGTTAAAATGATTTTAAAGGATAAATAATATCGTAAATAAAATATATTAATCAACGGAAAGTAGTAAAAAAGGAGATATTTTATATAAAAGTTAGTCCCCTTATATGATCGACTCGACGTGACTATAGCCAGAACCGCAATTTCCTTAATGTCAGCGAGTCTCAATCTGCAAAATTCTTGTTTTGAATAATGCATGTGCTTACATAATGCACCCAATTTTCCCATTTTGCATTTCCATTAGTCAAGAAGACAGTATCAGCGATAGAGTCCAGATCTTTTACATCCCCCATCTTTCTTTTCTTACTTCTTCTTCTACTAATACTTCTCTGCATTGATCGTTTCTACCTGCAGTCAAATATCCTTTTAGCTAAGAAAAAGATGCGGAAGATGAGGAATTTTCTAATATATATATATATAAGAAAATCATTTAGAAAAAAATCCTTCATTTTCCATATCGTTTTATATATACTTATGTAAAAATGATGCGGAAGATGAAGGATATATAAATGTATATATCCTTTATCTTTCGCATCTTTATATGTCCATAAACGTAAAAACAGGATTTTCCTAATATATATAATGCTATCTTTATCATTATTCATATCAACATGATATATACATCTTTTCATTATAAACACCCTTCTTGGAAGAATAAGACCAATTTCATGGGGCATTTGCCTTTACTCTTCCAAGTCACAGACGAATATTTATACTTTTCTTTACTTGTTAATATGAATGATTATAAGGATCGCTTTATATATATAAATATATTAGGAAAATCCTTTCTTTACGTTTATACACATATAAAGATGAGAAAGATAAAGAATATATATATCTATCCATCCTTCATCTTCCGCATCATTTTTACATAAGTATATATAAGGAAGATGAAAGGAGATATATGATGAAGATATGTATATACCTTTCTTCATCATTCTTATCCTCATCCTTTACATCAGCAAAATACAGAAGCATATACACATATATTTTCATCTTCATCCTCCTCATCTTCACCCTTCATATCAAGCAATAAAAGATAAAAATATATGTAAGAAAGATAATGATAATAAAGATAAAGGATTCATTCTTAACATTTCGCATTCGAAAGATGTATAAATCACTATTTTCTTTGAAAATTATTTAAAAACATCATCAAAAATATGCTTAAAAAAGAGTCATTAGTTAAAGACAACTTCTGTTTCTTAGTACATATAATTACTGTTAAGTATCTGGATGAAAAGATGGAAAGAAAGATGAAAAAATTTCCTTTTTAAATTATTTTCTATGCTGTTTTCTTGTAATTACTGACGATTTTCGAGTAGTGAATATGATTTTCCAATGCCTCTTCCAACTACTTATAAATTTTTATGATTTTTTTTCTTCTCTTCCTTCTTTAAATATCAAGAATTGTAAGTTATTTAATTCGATTCGATTTAATAGAGTTCGGTTGTTTTAATGAGATTTTTCTTCATCTTTAATGAGTTACGAATGTTTCTTGTGTAAATGTAAATTTTCTTACAAGTAGAAATTCACTTGAAAACGGGCTTATTATAGATAATTAAATGAGAATATAATTTTATAATGCCACTTAAATAATGTCAGAGATGTGAAAGAAGATGTAGATGAAGAAGAAATGTCATTTTCTTGTCTAATAATTAATTAAAATTAATAAAATTTCAACTGTATCCACTGCTTCGCTAATTGAGAAATGTAACTTTAAGTGGTGATTTTTTTAAAAATCTAAATTATTAATTAATTTTTCCTACTTTCAATGATTTATTTTAATTTTATACAATCTTAAGTTTTATATATTTTTAAAATTATATTAATATCTTTATTAGTTTTAAAGAAATTGGAGTTTGAAAATGATAAAAGGGCGATGCGACTTAACGTGAATTGTTGCATCGCGCACGATATTATACGCGTAGATAACTGGATATATTTAATATTTTAATAGAAACGATACCAAAATTTAAAAATAATTTCAAGGAGTATATATATTTTGAAGAATTACCCGTGTTTTAATAGAAATAACCGAACATATATCTATTGCTGTACGTCAGAGACGACGCGCCGCGACACTTCTCTAATTCTCACCGAAGCTTATAAATAGCGTAAATTATAAGTGTTTATAAACTATTTCATTTATAAAGCGAATAGACTTATATTACAAAGTTTAACACGTACGTTTTACAATAAAATATAAAATCACACCGTCATTTTCGCGCATAAATCGGCGTGCGACTCTACGCGACCGTACGCGTCGACTTATATAATTACCAAACATTTATATATAAACGCAATAGAAATGACGCCGTTACAACGTTTAGGTAATAGAAACTGTTTTAAAACGTAATTATAACAATTAAATTTAGATAGAAAGAAATAAAGAGCTCGCGACACGACACGACACGACGCGACGCGACGCGCCGACACGCGCTTTTCAGAAAAAAGTCATGCAAATTTCTATTTTTATTCTTTTCGTAATCAAACACTGTGTATAATTTTTTTTTAACTTCTCGAATTTCCTTTTTTTTAGTAAATTTGTAAATTGTATTTTTTAAAAAATTCAACAAAATAATAATAATATTAATAATAATAAATAATAATAAACTTACATATACTCGTATATATAACGCTGTCAAAAAACTGTTTACTTCAACCTTTTTTTTTTGTATTTTTTGGGAGTGTAAATCCATAAAATCATGGATAAATTTTCCAAATTTCTGTTTTACAATATGACAAATCACAGAAATTTCTCTTTTTTTTTATATATATAATAATTAACAACTAAAACCGTATAGATTCCTCACATTGATGGACATATTTTTCGAAGAAAAAACGGCGATGTTTCGGGGTCATGACCTTCAATTTCCTGTGTTTTCGTGACACTAAATCTGTCCCACACAAAAAACACACTGATTCTTCTATGTTTTTTTTTAGAGTTACTCTTCAAAAAAATCGAAAAAAAAGTCAAGGAACTTCCTAGATGCCAATTGGTTTGTATATGAGTGGAGGGGTTTGTTTTTTGTTGTTGTTTGTTGTTGGATGGTCAGATGATCATCATGAGTTACCATGGAAACATATCAATTCTGTAGGGTATGGGAGGTGTTGTTTGTTCTTATACAAAGAGCACCAAATTTGCAAGAAAGTTCCCCTAATATATAATAAGATGGATGAACTGTGTGGCCAGATTTTTCTGGTATTGTCTCTTTATATATATATATTATTATATATTTATTTATTTATATATATATATCAATCATTCATTTAGAGGTGGTTGTTTTTGTTTTTTTTTCTTTTGGTATTTGTTTTTCCCCTTGTTTTGTAACACGCGCATTGATCAATTATTTAAAAGAGGCAAGAGTTCAAGCGAAATCCTCTTCGTCTTCATTTTCTTTAATGATACCTATCTTTCTACCACAGTTTCGTACCTTCTGTATCACCTCCTCTTGCATTAAATTGAAGCACATGGCTATAAGTGCCATACCTAGCAGTAAATACAACGAACATATCACCAATTTCTCTTGTGAACTATCACTCACCACTGAGTCACCAGGAACCAAATCACCAAAACCGATGGTGCTTAAGGTTACAAAACAGAAATAGCAACCATCTAGAAATTCCCACTTTTCCCACGTAGAAAACAAGAAACCACCACCTGATATATAGCCCACCAATATCACTAAACACAAAATGATAGGCACGGTTACTCTTGTCTTCTCGTAGTCTGAATCTTCACGTAGATCATCTGGTACAGTCTCTATTCTTACCTCATCCTCTGCAGGTACGTGTAATTTATCTTGGACACCTGGTTCCAGTGCGTTGTGCCTACCTGGAGAATTCTGTGCTACAATATGGTGCACGCGATAATTTTCCGCATTCCTCCTCCTCTTGTAATTGTCGTTGGGTCTACATGTGCAAATACGACCGTAAATATACCTGAAAGACTTTGCCATGACGTCACCGATATTCGTAAGGTATAACAACATCAGAGGTATTCCTACTATGGCATAGAGGATGGTGACGATTTTCCCCCATTGTGTTTTTGGAGCTATATTGCCATAACCTGGAAAGAAATCAGAGGAAAAAAAAGCATTTGTCATCAATTTATTTAATTAAATTTTAAATTAATTATACCAAAAAAAAGGATCATTAGAGGGGTTGGCATTTAGTTACAGAGATTTTTCGCGTGATTGACTCGACGTACACTTTTAATTCTGTACGAATTTTTGGATCTTTGCCACTCTTCTGTTTTATTTACGTTGGCTTACAAATCGTCTTTTGATAAATAGAAATGTATTGAAACAAATAGGGTAAATATGGGAAAGATGCCCAACGACAAGTGACATATAATAATATGTAAATTAGCTTACAAATGTATTTTTAGGTAGGTGTCACGCAAGGTTCTGCTTGTATGTAACTAGAATGTTTACAGCACCAATTATCGCTAGCTTAAAACGTAATTTATTTCTTCTTACTTTTCCTATATTAAGGAAATCAGTAAACACATTTCTTTCTTATCAGGGCATATTATCCTCGTTTAATTTATAATTTAAATAAAATGTACAAAGAATATCTATAAATTTTTAGAGCATTTCTCCTTTGTTTACAGGTAAACACACGGTATCTTACCCGAATTTATTCGCTTAATGAAAAAAAAAATATGGTATATCCCTCAAATTTCCGCCATTTTCCAGCGTAAAATTGGGAACATCTCTGCAAATTTCCTTCATTTATAAGCGATAAACATAGGAATCTTTCCCAATTTTCTCTACTTATTAGCGTAAATAGCGTAACGGGCACATCTCCCGAATTCCCTCTACTCATCAAAATAAATAGAAAGGGCATTAATTTATTTATTTATTACTATAAATCTCCAGCAAAATCTATCCAATCTCTTAATGTAAACATCGCTGAACTCTCCCAGACGACCCCGCATCAATAACGGAAACATAATTAAAAATTATGGATCCTTTAACGAAATTATCGAAAAATTTTCTAACATAGAATAAGAATTGAGTTTACTAAAATAACATTCATTCATTGAAAAAAACAGAAAAAGAAATAAAGAAAAAAGAAGCAAAATAAAAAGAAAAGAAGAAAGTTAACTTGGAACCATCTTTCTCTCGCTCCGTACAGTGAAAGTAATGAAGGAGAATAAAAAATTACTAGTCAGAAACGTTGAAAAAAGCATGTCTCGACAGGTCGAAAAAGTCGAAGCAATCAGTTCCAGCGAGTGAGGTACGATACAGATTCCAAGATTGTAATAGCCTAATGACGTCCTGCAGTGCAGTTCAGCCTAAATATCCTGAGAGAGACGATCGATACCCTTCTATCTATTAGACCTTCCCCCTTTTTTTTTATTTCTCTGCTCGTTTTTTGAACAACTTCCTGTAGCTAACAGCCATCCATTCAGTTGGTCGTCTATTAGGTTGTGTGGGGAAGTGAGGTAGCCAACCCCACCCTTATCTAAATTTGCACGACGCCATGAGTTGTGACTTTGTAGTCCCCGTGGTCATACAAACAGATTGGCTTCCACTTTGCTGTGGCTTTCGATGAATGTATATCAATCGATACCATATATGGTATCGTGGTCCGATACGTCACCGATCGATACGTAACTTTCGACATTGCATATTTTTAAAAATTAGTATTTTTTTTAAATGGGTAGAGGAACCATTCATATACCAATCTTTCAAACAACCCTTATCTTCTGTCTAAAGAATTCGTGTTAAAATTTACGACACGAAAACTTCCTCCCTCTGTCGTGAATAACCTTTCGAGTAATTGGTACGTATGAGAATATTTTATCAGCCTTTTTTTTGGATACGTTAAATTAAACTGTAAATTTCTTGGATTTTCTCCCGTTTTCTTTGATAAAAATTTCAAAAATATATATATAAAAATAAATGAATAAATTTCTTCCTACTTGATAAAATTTTGAATAGAATTCAACCTTTGACATTCTTATACAAAGTTAACGAGGTGAGAAACTTAATTTTAATCCCGGTACCAGAATAAAATAATTAAATGGGGTAACAATTACCGATAGTTTCTCTAACCTTAATTAACGGTATTACCGTATACGGTATACAAACTTTGTAGTATTATATATGTCACAAGCTAATCACCTTATATCCTCGTGACGTAATTCTCATCACCCCTATGATGTTTACCCATCGTTAACCCTCATTATGGTGCAATGAAACCATTATTGTGCCAGGGTTTCATTACTCTCTATCTATTTGTGGAGAACATGTTTATTTAGAACATCAATCTTATTAATTATAATGTTATGTTTCGTGTTGATTATCTCTGTATATATATGTATTCGGCATAATCAAGACAGTTGTGAATATTCTGCTATGGATATTAAATTACAGAGACTAGACATGATTAGATAGCTTTATACACTAGTGTAAGGCGTATCAATGTTTGATTTTGGCACCAATAATTAAGATTTCTAGAAGTTTTAAATATTAATTAAGTTCTAGAATTGTAAATCCATCACCCGAATTGATTTTATGTTGAGTAAAATCTCCATTGGTAAGAGTTAAATCCCACTTCGAACTTCACACCAATTGCAATTGTAATGAAAGTTGGCACCTACTTCATAACTTTTCATTAGTTTTTACACGTAAATTACGATTTGTAACAGTTTAAAACATTAACTACAATACCAAATAAGATTACGTATTGGGTAAAATCTACACCTATTTGCACCAATGACAATTTCGATTACAATTTGCAATGAAAGTGGCACCTAGTTCGTGTATTCCACTAGTTTCTAACCAATGGCAAGCAAGGTTATACTTTTAATCACGGGGTTAGCGAGGTCTTTCGACATGGTGGCTTAATTGGTACTATAATTGTCATTTGTGATGGTTGATTGACAGAATGGTTGATTAGAATCGATCTTCTTCCCAAAAAAACACTATTTCGCTCCGTGTAATTGTTTGAAATCATTACTTTGCAGTTGTTAAATTCTATTTATGGTCACTTTAATGATTTATTATAAAGTATTTTATTGTTTTATTCTGTATAATGTTGAAAAAAACAATAAAATTTTATTGTTTATTTTCTTGAAAATTAATTTGTAAATATAATTTATCTGTTTCACCACCAGAGGGAGTAGTATTTTGAATTAACTTCAAGTTTATAAATTAAATTTTTAACCGAAAGGTTAAGTCTGTTTCTTGTTAAAAAATAAATAATTTTTTTTTAAATACTACNTAGAGTAACATAATACAGTAGACTAAAACAGAAATGGAATGGGTCCAAAATAAATATAAATTATATACAATATACTGTTTTATTAATATATTAATATTTTTTTGTTTGAATTGGCAAATTCATTTATGACCTTCTCACTAACATTAAAAAATGTATTATATATAATTTTTTTGTCTTTTATAGTTTCAAATTTCTTGCAAAATTGTTGGAAATTTCACAACAATTTAAATATAATTTTTTTAAGTTTGCGTTTTTTAGAGCAAATTTAATAATTTAAATTTTAAAACTCCAGTTTGGAAGCCACAAATGCCGAATAAATTAACAAGAATTTTACATTTTAATCACCACTAGAGGGTGTAGCGTCGATTTAACGCCCAGTTAAGTTTTTAACCGGTAGGTTAAATCGACTCTACGACCTCTAGTGGTGATAAAGATGTAATGGAGCAAAGGCCTGAAAAATCTACTTTTAAAACAAAAAAAAATATTCAGTTTTCAAGATAAACTTTTAAACTAGAAAGAATATTGACTTTTTAAGAGTTAAATCGAAGCTATCCTTGCTAACGATAAAAAGCAGTTGAAAATCTTTCTGGTTTCAACTGCTTTAATTTTGGAGCCATAAATGCTGACTAAATTCTTGTTCTTATTGAGCAGTGGTTGAGATTATGGTAGCTTTGTCTTACTCTCTACTACGAATTCGTTGAACTAGTAGACTTTGCTGCGTAACAGTTAGCAGTCAAACCCATTGTTTCGCTGGCTTAAGCCGGTTCTTCACCAGTGTCCAGCTCTACAGGCTCAACTTCAGCAAAGCCATTCACTTCGTAGATCCAGAAATTAATAACATTCTCTTTAATACTATGCTCTGCAGCTATATTGTACATTGGTATGTCACCATCGCCTCCCTCTTTATACCAGACCCGTTAATTGTTAGGGTTGACTAAATTAACAGGAATATTGTATTTTATTAACACTAGAGGGCATAGCATCAACTTAACGCTCTGTTATATTTTAAACCAGGAGTTAAATCGACTCTACACCCTCTGTAGATGATAAAGTTGTACTACTAAAACTCCCTAACCTTAATTTAACATTTAATTTCGGAATAAAAATAAAACGTTAATCCAATTTTCAGTAGTAAATGTTGAATAAATTAACAAAAATTTTAATTTTTGGATTAGATTTTTAAACTAAGAAAAGTAACATCAATTTAAATTTAAGAGTAAAATCGATGCTATTCTTCTTGGTAGTGATAAAGCAGCAGTAAACCTTTCTGGCTTTAACCCGCTTTACAGAAAGAAATGTTGAATACATTAACAAGAGTTCTAATCTTCAGGTTAAATTTTTAATCCACAGTTAAATCGATCTACTCCCTTGGTGATGATAAAGATGCAATAAAGCTTTCTGGCCTTATCTTGTTTCAATTTTGGAGTAAGAAATGTTGAAATTAGAATATTTCTCTAACTTTAGAGTCATAATACCGAATGAATTAACAAGAATCTTAATCTTTAGTTTAAATTTTTAATCGGGAGTTAGATCGATGATACTCCCTGCCTTAAAAAGCCTTAAAATTTCAGAAAGTTAATTATAATATTAAAAAAAAAGTAACCATACTCAATGGAAAAAATCCAACATTGAAAAAGTACAAAAATATTAACTAAGAATCAAAGATTTACACTTAAAATTCACACTAGACATATGAAAATATAATTAAATTACAAATACATCAATGAAGTAATATTTAAAAAGTAATAATAAATGGAGGAACTCGTGACAATTGGCTCTTGACAATTTCATGTCAGAGAAAAGATAAATCTGTCTCACTTCTAATCAGATACT